CTGAGGAAAGACTGAGCTACACAACCAGTTTCACTTCATTTAACCTGCCAGGGGCTAAACTTGGCATAAACCAGCAGTTTGCTCATTTAGAAATCTTCATGTAGAGAAATAACTGCAGTCATGGCAGAAAAAATCAACAACAACAACAAAAAAGTTTTGCCAGTAGCACAAATTCTGTGTTTCATAAATCCTTGAACAGCATTAATCTATGAATCTAGTTTTCCTGCAGTTCTCTGCAGCAGGCTGGATATCTGTTTCATTCCTGCCTTATCAGAGCTCCACACTAAAAACATCCTCAAAGACCAGCTGCTTCAAAGATCCAGGAGTAATCTGGTAACAATCTGTGCATTTTCCAGCTTGTCGTGTGACATTTTATACCATGCTACAAGTAAAAAGTGATAATTAGTCACTGACATTAGGTGAGAAATTCACATTATTTCATACGTTTATCCCACAAGTGTTTTACTGCCATGACAGTTACGTCAGCTTCTGCTACCCAGCGTTCAGTCTCCAAACCGGCCACAGTGGGAGCTGGTTCAATGGAGGACTAAACCAGAGCTGGTTCTGCACTGGTTTAGTGGGAAGAGCTAACAATATTTCAGATTCAGTCACACTAACACAAAGAATCACCCACTATCACTCTGAAATCTTAAAATCCAAACGTTTTTCTGCAAATGATGGAGAATAACTGCCGTCATGCTCTGGAGTTAAAGTCGATGTCTGTGCACAGAAACTAAAATTAGTATAATAAAAGTTGTAATACGACCAAAACTACACACAGACACAGCATCTCCTTCAGATGTGAGAGCATGCAGAGTCATTTTATGCTGCAGCACAGTCACAGGGTTTCTCTCTGCAGGGATGTGCGTTATGATTCAGCTCCATTTATCCTTCAAATCCTTTCTTTTACTTTCTCACTTTATTATTTTTTCCACGCTCGCCATCACACGCCGTCGTCTTCTCCATTTCTCCTTATCTCTTACTTATATCTCACTCTTCTTTTGCTCGCTCTCCCGTCAGTGCTGAAAAGTGTGACGACGGGAGCTCGCGACGCACTCGCTGACCTCGGAGCCCTGCTCTCCCTCCCCGCGAGCGCCCTACTGTACTTTGAAAGAAGCAGCAGAGCGATCCTTGTCTAAACAGTGGAAAGAATAAAAGGCAGTTAATGCAACCTCATTACGTAAATGCTCTCTGCTCTTATGAGGCCTGACCACAGCTGAAAATGACACCAGCAGACTTTGGTCAATAGCGTGCCACGGGCTGCATTCACAGAGAGGACGCAGAGCGGTCCGCTAGAGGGCAACTGTAGGGTGAAACAATGAGAAGGGAATGGCTTTGTAGCTGGAAAACAAACCTTTAAGCAGCGAGTTAATCACCCAAA